GCTCCAGCAGGTCGCAGAGAATGGGGGTGAGAGAAGACTCCAAACCTCCCTCCACCCGCTCATTGTAGTGTTGATGCATGTGTGTTCTAAGGTGCATTTAAAACCCAGGAGGGCATGGAGCTACCTGCCAGAGAGCAGCAGGTAAGCTGCTAGGCTTCTAACATGCACCAAGCTCTGGGAACACATCACCCCCACCCTCATAAATTTCCATTGATTCCTGGTCACATCACGCATTACTTATATCCTTTTTCTCACTTAAAAAACCCTCAATGCCCTGGCCCTGCAGTACCTGTCTGACCTGATGCACCCATACACATACATTTTCCATTTCAGTGTAGAACTCAGATAAATTGTGATCTTCTGGGGTTATACGTGTAACAGGACCACTGGGTAGGGTTGTCCTTGTGATGGCTGCATGCAACCACACAATTGAAATACTTGGGTAATATTCATTTGATCTTTTTGTCTTATGTTTACATTATGCTCTAAAGCTTCTGTGATCATAAGTTAACTTTTGATATTTTGAGTTTACCTGTAATGCATGACGGCACTAGGCTATAGTCCAAAGGGTGGCATAGACTCTGTTTTGCAGTTTGTTATTTTATATGGGTATGTGTTATATTAATTATATTTCTGTTCTTTCTGAGTTACCTGGCCTCCGCTCCAGTCCTTCCTGGTTTGGCTGAAAGAGGAGGCTGAGGATGGAGCTGGTTTAAATGCAAAAGCCAATAGAATGGACTGGACCATCTATTGTGATCATGTAGGGGGAATGGGGTTCTTCTTGAATGATGGTTAGCTGTTATCTCTAGTTTTCACCTTTGGTGTATATAATGGTTTATTCATTTGCTATATAACTGGAGCTGTTTCTCATTTGGGCAGGTCAGTTTGTTGAGTTATGTTTTGTTAAGTGACTTTTGAGTTGAGTTTTGTTAAGTTAACCTCTTTTATGGGCCCACTTGGTTCTTAAAAAAAGTTTATTTTTTGTCATTTTGAATTTTTGGAATCATCTTGTCCTTTTTGAGGCATAATAAAACCCTTTTCTTTTTTTTTGAAGATTATATTTGTGCCTGTGTGTTCCTGGCTGCTTGGTTCATGACAGTCCTTTTTAGAAATATTTGGAAAGTTAGTTTTGACTTTAAAGCAGTAGTTCTCAGACTTCAGAGGGCATATCCTCCAATTTTTTTTTATCATAATATAATTAACATTATAATTTTATCAATTATTAAATCTTTTAATCTTTTTAAAACGTTCCTTTAAAAGGCTGCTGTTGGTTGAATAACATTACCTTAATTGCTTTATTAATTTCCTAGCTCAAGCTGTCTACACTAATTCCCTTTATTCAGCCAGTAATAAAGAGTTTGTGATACAGTTTCTATAAGAAAATGTATGTTGGTGTAAAATGTATTAAGTAAAATCCTGAATCTTTGCCCTTGTGGCTCGCTGCAATGTGAAGTGGTGGGGTTTGGAAAGCTTGAAAAGTTATGAAATGTGTCACACACATCTGGCACGACCAAGACTTTCATGTTTTATGGCTCTGATTATTGAATATGGCAAAAAGGATCAAGATGGTCTTTTGTAAGTTTAAACTAAACTTGACGATGCTAAATTGCGAAACTTTTAACTTTTCGTGAAAGGATGTGTTTGTGTAAATTGTGTAAATCGTGCAAATTATCATTATTATTATTATTATTATTATTATTATTCAGAGTTGTGCTTGGTAAGTAGTAGATGCATCATTGTAACTACTCGTGCACTTAAAAACATTTTTTTTAATTAAACCATGACTAACTCGTTACAGTGACTTGATGTTTTCACATTTGATAAAAACCATATCTATATAACTTTTCTAAATTCGTTGACGTCATGCATCCTCGGTAAAAACTTTCAGCCTCAAAACAACCTGTGATTGTATGCTGACAAAGCACTGTTGGACGTACTAACGACAGCTGATCGTTTACATGTGTCCTCAGTAAATCAGCGCAGCAACACGTTCAACTCATCATTAGTAGCTCATATAAACGTGCGACTGCGCCACCAACTGGAAGTCAAAGATATATACACCACTCACAATGGGACAATCATATAATAGTGAGATACTACAGAGAGAGATGAGGAGCAGTGGAAATACTTTGAAATGAACAAACATGGAGAGACGATGAAAAACAGCTCAGGTAAACCTGTGCCTTCAGTTACAAAGAAAAAAGCGAACGGTCCAATTGGTCACTAGCTTATAAGATGCTAATGCACGAACGTCTTCTTTACGTGTTTTATATGCTTAATATCACATCTCATAAACAACCCAGAATTACTTTGTTATGTTTACTCGGTTTTGAATTGTTTTAGGAAAGATTATAACGACGTCACATTGAAATAAATATTGCCTTGTGTGTAGGCCAGAGCCCTGCGGTGCAGGCTACCCTTACAAACATCTTCAGCAAGTACAGCCATTTGTTAACAGGCAGTGTCCTTACTGAACACGGTACTCACCTGAGGCAGGTATGGGGCAGACCTGATTTAAACGCGCGGATATGAGGTACGTCATTCTTCCAAGACTGCAAAACAGCAAAATGGTTATCACGCTGTATAGTGTGTGTGTGTGTGTGTGTGTGTGTGAGAGAGAGAGACAAACATCTAACAGAAAAAAACACAAAGGAGGCAGTGACAACAGTTCAAAATTGTATCACCTCTCAATGACTACAGATGTTTCTTTAGTTAATATTATTTTGTCATAAATAATCGAAGCTATATCCTTTAGAAAGCCCTTACAGCGCAGATACAGTGAACATACCTGCGGTCACTGACACATAATTAGAAAACCTTGTGTTTGTTTGTTTGGACAAAACCGAATATAAATGTGATTTTTAGTTGGCCTAGTCTAGATAGCCGGTGGATGGAAATACAATTTCTTTGGCAATATTATTTAACTCCATACAGAACTCCACCTGAGCAGAGGTCTGTTCAAAAGAAAGGTGTGCCACACCCAGGCCTGATTACTTTCAGACTTGTTGAGTCAAGAAATTACTTAAATAGAACCAGTCTGACAAAGTAGGCTTACAGATCTCAAAAACCAGCACATAATGCCAAAATCATTCACGTCTATCAGTCAGGAAAAGGTTACGAGGCCATTTTTAAGGCTTTGGGACTCCAGTGAACCACGGTGAGAGCCATTATCCACAAATAAGAGAGAGACTGGGCAAAAATGTCATCCGTGGGAGAGGTCCAAGGAGAAAACCACTGCTGACCAAAGAGAACACAAAGGCATGGCTCACATTTGCTTTAAGGCACCTTGAAGTTCAACTTTCTGATTTAAGTCCTGTTGAATCTGGTGTAAAACTAACCAACAGTCAAAGATAGTGACGGTAGTGTGATAAAACAGGGCTTTTTTCAGCATCAGGACCTGGACTACTTGCTGTAATCGATGGAACCATGAATTTTGTTCTCTGCAAGAAAATCTCAATGGAAAAATGTCTGGAATCAGTTCATGTGCTGAAGTTCAAGCACCCGTGGGTTAAGCAGCAGGACTAAGGTGTTTTAGCATGACCTTAAACGGGCCTTTT